GATCATAAGCATCGGTGAAAAATCCCATGCCTGCGATGATAATCGCAGTGACATGGTACAATTGTATCCTAGCATTGTCAAGAGCATTAAGCACCGCTAAATTTGACGAGGACATGTCTTTCTTTTAGTTCTTTTGGCGGGAGTGGTTTTCTTGCCTAGGATTTCATGGATATATAATTGGTATTTTAAGCAATATGATAAAGAAAAAATAGATAATGCACTCGAGCTCGATGAACACTAAGCCATGGGAGAATAACTAGAAATTAGAAAGGGAATATTGAGGATATACCCATTTGGGAATTATAATTAATCTAATTTAGAAAACTAAATAATTTTTTAAAAAAAATAATTATGACTGAAAACAAGTATGGTTAAGCTTTCATACACTCTTGCGATCATAACGAAGACACAAAATTATATTAGAAAACAAATGCGTCCCTCTCTCTGTCGCCTCAAGGAAAGAGATCAATATGTAAACGTCTCCATGCTACTGAGGGTCAAATTTAATGTTCTGGGATATTCCTAAGTCTTTTCAGAGCTAATTAACTAGAAAGAAATCCAGCAATGTCTTCTGAAACCATGACCGGATGTCCTTCAATGTCCTTGGAATATTCTTCATTTTTCTGATATATATATAGCTTAATTGCTATAGGATACACTAATTAAAAATATCTCATTGTCTATTTTAATTGATCAGCATTTGGCTGTCCATGCGGTTTGTTTCTTAGCGGTAATTAAACTATCCGTACAATTTTTAATAAAAATTTTAATATATTGTTGCCCTATTTTATATTTAATTAAAAAAGGGTTAGGGTCTCAATCACGTGTCGAATACCTAGATGGGTACATATAATTATCAGCATAAAAAATCAATACATGCTACTTTTTTATACAAGAAGAATGAAAATAACATTATTATCTTTGTTTGTTCAATTACTATTATATAGAAAATTATTTAATTAATTCTATAAACATGAGATGTATTCTTGCTGGTTGAATCTCATCTTTACATAATATTAAGGTAACATTAATCACAGACAAGCCATCCTTTGCTTGCTAGCACCCCAACGTCCATGAAAATTGGTGGCCAATTAAGATGAAAAAAAATATTAAATTTTTTTTAAAAAATTCCTTTTGAACATAAAATCAAACCCATTTGGAAAATATTTAACATATTTTATTTATAAAAAAAAAAGCAAATTTAAAAGACTTGGAAAACTGTTACGAATAATAACTGTAGAATTTGATTAATTGCCGGTATAAGGTATAGGAAGTATGATTTTTTTATATACAATAAAAAGTAAAAAATAATCCAAACATGGGCATCACTTCTTATACATACATACATATACATATATATATATATATATATATATATATATATATATATATATTGTTAGGTAGATTCCTGTTAAAATGAAATTCTAAAGTCTATAAAATGAAATATATATGCACAAAGACATGCTTCAAGCTTGAAAAGCATCTATCCCACCACTGTGAAGCTTACATGGCAAAAATTGTTGCATATTATTTCTAGTAAATCTCGAGCCACGTGTGAAATAAAAGTGACAAATAAAGTAACGATTTTTCCTACAATAGTTCATAATTTTAGAATCATTTTCAATTAAGGTGTTGTAAAACCTGGTTTAGAAAAAAATTAAATCAGTTAAACATAATTAATTTTGCAAGTTAACTTTTTGATGAAATTTGATTTGATTATAAAATTATAAAAAATAAATATTTTAAAACTATATTATTTTAGTTTTTTTTAAATAACATTGTTTTGAATTAAAATAAATTAACTTAACTCGCTAAACTAACTTTATAATTTAAACTTTAAACCAAGTCTCAGATTTTATAATTATGTTTTTATATTCATTTAGATTATTAAAATATTAACTAAACTTAACAGGTTTTAGCAAATTAAAAACTTAATCTATTTGATTAATAACCTAACTAGAATAAGTGTATTTTCAGTAATATGGTAAAATGTATTTTTTAAAATTAATTTTCATGTATCAAAATCATTAAAAAAAAATAAAGGCTTTGAATTGCGAATTTTTCATATTAACTTACCAAATAGCAAATTTTCCTTTTTCTAAAACTTAATCGTACCCAAAATCGAACAAAAAGCCATTTTCCATCTTCACATCCTTCCTTTGTGTCACGTTGCTTATCTTCTTCAATGAAATGAGAGATGGAGGTCGAAGAAATAGAAGCTGTGCTAGAAAAAATATGGGATTTACACGACAAATTAAGCGATGCTATTCACTCAATTTCACGCTCTCACTTCCTGAGCTCAATCAAATCCCTTAAAACCAACAACAAGAAACTGAACAGAGAAAGCGATGTCGGGTTTGAAGAGAACAACAACAGTAGGGCTTCTGGGTTCGTTTTTGTTAAGGATTTTGGGGTTGATGACAATGACTTGTCGGCTATTCAAGAGGCTAAGAGTCTTAACTCTATTCGGACTGCTCTTGAGAATCTTGAAGATCAGCTGGAGTTCTTTCATGTGAGTCTTGGTGCTATGGATTTATGGGATTTGTTTAGTTTATTGATTGGTGGTTTTTGTTTTGATTTTGAGGAATTTGTGGGACTTTATGAGGTTTTCTTTTTTGGGTATGGTATAAAATAATTTGTTAGTGAAATCATGGGAAGAAAGAGAAATCTTGAATGTAGGATTTGTTTGTTTGTAGGTGAAAAAATTGAAAGATTGAGGTTAACTAGGTGCTAATTGTCTGTTTTACAAGCAAATGGGTTTTTATTTATTGACTCTTCGGTCATTACTTTTTTGATAGAGAATTCATGAGATTATTTCTATCCTTGGAGGTTTAATTTGATTGATTTTGATTGTTTTGCCTGTTTGATAAATTCGCTTGCTGACTCGATTTTGATAATTGTTTTCTTGTTAATTTGCAAAAGTGTGTTATCCACTTTTAATTGTAATCAGATGAAATTGAGGTGATTGAAAGGCTTGTGAATTGTTTATACACTTAGATATTGTGGGGTGTTTAATGACTGGAAGTTGTGCAAAGGACTAGAGGAAGTGAATTGCGTAGGAACAGGATAAGTATTCTGTTGATTCTTTCTAGGTCAAATAAGACCAAGTATAGTGCAATTGTACAACTTGTTCGGATACAACTGTTTTACAGTTAAGATTGCTTTGACAAAAAGGAATTGTTTGAGCAGCGCCTGGTCACAATAAAGCTTTCTGAGTTCATTTCAGTTCACAAATGGTGAGTTGTGCTATGTAAATTGCTGTAACCACATGTAAGGAGGGGGTAAACAGATCTGATTGATTGTCATTAGATATGATAAAGACCTGCTAATGTTAGGGATAGCATAGTATCAATTGGTAGTCTCAAAGAGAACTGAGAGAAACAGAATTGGCAATCACACTTGTTTGATTAAAGTAAACAGAAGTCATCTGGTCCTGTAATGAACAGAATGTTTGGGGCAATGCTTTGTTGAGTTGTTATATGTGCCAATAGTGATGCTCTTCAACTATATTGGTCTTTGTTTTTCATGCTTCAATTTATGTTTGTGGAATTATTTGCTTCACATTTCCAACTTATGCATCATTGGATATACATGTCATTTTGTCTGTTATGCAGACGGTACAAATACATCAACGAGCTGAGAGAGATGCTGCAATTGCTCGATTAGAACAAAGTAGGATTATTCTGGCTGTGAGATTGGCTGAACACCATGGTAAGAAGTACAAGGTAATTGAAGAAGCTCTGGCATTTGTTGGGGATGTAAATGATGCAAGTCGGTTTGTTTCCCGTGAAAACCTTTATGGTTTGCCTACAAGCCCATCAGGTGAGAACCTGGTTAGGCATGAAGGGAAGGGGCCTAACACGGTGATCAAAGTTCTCCTTTCTAGTTTTGAATTCGCAAAGAAATCCCTCAAATTGGATCTTGTGGGTGGCATATTGGGCAATGCTGCTTTATTCACGGTTAGCATGATTGCCATGCTCCATCTGCATCAGGTAGCCTTCAAGGACCATCCCAATAAGCAAGAAGATCTTCTCTACAGCAATAGAAATGGGAAGAAAGTTTCTGGGCTGGAAGGATCTTCATCCAATGGTAGCTTGAACCACTTGGATGTGCTGTTTGCAAGGGGTTGAAGTAAGAGCCTGAACTTTTTCGGTTAGTTAAATGGTGGAAGCTATGCCGTTGTTGTGATTGAAAAAGCTTTGTTGTTGTTGCGGATTTCTTCCCACGCAAATCTGGAGATGTCGAGAAAGGAGCTAGCTCTATTCTTGTTGAGATAGAGCTAGTAGTTTCTTTGTTGATAATTTTTTTGTTTCGACTGTGTATATCATAATATCTAACTAAGTTCATCTTTCAAGTGGGTGATGCCATCCAAGTTTTTCTGATATGAATGCCTATCCTTTGCTACCATTTTACTTTTCTCCCGCGTTAAAATTGCTTTGTCGATCACAGTTTTCTGCGAGGGAACTATTTATAGGAGTGGTCTTCGTTATAGCGAGCGTTAGATATTGCTATATGGTTCCTTCTCTGGTTCTCTGGTTAAATCGGAAGTCCAACAGGCTTAGCCCTGTCCCAAATTCTGATCTCATCTTTCTAAAGATTGTAATGGAAATTCCAAACCATTTTAGTGTCCGGATCGGGAACAGATGCTAGATGCTTGCTTACTGCCAGCAAGTTTGGATTAGGGCAGATTGATTTTGTGGTTTTTGTTTTAGATTATTTATTTTATTTGTTTTGATATATTGATATTAAAAGTAAATTTTTCAAAATAAAAATATTAATTTAATGTATTTCTAAAAAATATGTATCTTAAAAAGTAAATATTATCAAAAACACTATCAAAATAACTGTAAACTGTGCAATTGTCCATGGAACACATGTTAGATTCCGTGTTGGCCACTTCAAAACGAAAATACAGAGAAACTAATCAGCTCTGCCGTCGGCAACACGAATTCCAGACCATTCACTTCAAAAGAAAAGTATGGGTTCTCTCTCTCTTATTATTATATCAATTCTTGTATGTTTGCCGCTTTACCTCTACGCTACTCTTAACCCCAGAAGAACTGTTCTTTAAATTAAACAGGTCGACAGCCCTTCTCGTTCAACCTCATCCTCAACACGACGCAAGCTTTGCTGTCTTGCCAAATGGATAAAAAAGAGGAAATTGCACTTGACCGGATGAGAAAATCAGTCCAAAAACTCGGTGGCTCTACTGAGGTATGAATGTCTTCCAGGCAATATGCACCACGATATCCTGTAGAAATGTAACTTTGTGCCCTATTTATTGGAGTTCAGGTTTGAGTCTTTTTGACGCGGTGGTTTTATTGGCAGAGGTATGGGGACCCAACATTGACAAGGTTCTTGAAGGCAAGATCAATGGACTCGGAAAAGGCAGCAAAAATGTTTGTGCAGTGGCAGACATGGAGGGCTAGTTTTGTTCCAAATGGGTTTATTCCTGAATCTCAAATTCCTGATGAATTGGAATCAAGAAAGGCGTATTTGCAGGGTTTATCAAAAGATGGTTACCCAGTTTTAATTTTCAAAGGAAGTAGGCATTTTCCCTGCAAGGATCACCTTCAATGCAAGAGTATGTATTCAAAATTCCCATCTCATTTTAGTAATTTTTCTTTTTTCTGTATTTTCACTCTCATGTGACATGTGACATGACCTAACAAGCACGAGGCATATGATTCCTCTTCTGCTTTCCTTTTGGTGCAGGGTTTGTGGTATATATGTTAGACAAAGCTGTTGCAAGGTGAAGTTAATTTGCGGCTAACCGAATCAACTTAGATCAATTATTCTTATTAAAATAATGTAATTTCATTTGTTTAGTAAAGAAATTCCTTTGATATTGATCTGACCAGGTTTAAACTAGATTTAATAGAGTCAATTGGATCACTAAGAACCTGCTTGGGTTAATTGGGGTTTACTAGGTCAATGTTTTTGTTCAACTTGAAACTCGGTCTAGATTAGTCTTCAGGTCATGACTTTTCCTGGACATCACACCAAATTAGAATGGGTTTAATAACTAAAACTCAAACTTCAAAGTAATAGTGGATTTATCATTTTCATTTTGCCAGGGGATATCTCCTGATAACAGGAAAATGTATCGAACCGATTCGTCATGTAATAAGTTCATGCTATTGAGGGATCTATTTGATATATCCATTCATTAGTATCTTTTGGCTGCTTACGTTTTCCTCTGATCTTCAGTTTAACTTGTTCATGAGTTGCATCCCCTGAAACCTGATTCTCCTCAATTTTGATTGCAAATATATAAATAAAAAACAATGTTTCCATTCATCGTGCAAAGTAATTTCTGGTGATCAGAAAGGTAAAATGTAGAGCTCATTTTCTGATTTTTCATAAAGAATATTTGCTTATGCCGTTTCAGGGCAATTAAAGAGCATGAAATAGGAAATGAGAAGTTCATTTGCCTTATTGATCTTCGGCAACTAACATATAAGAACTTTGATCCTCGCGGATTAATCAATGCTGTACAATTTCTGCAGGTAATTTTTCTTATGTGTTTTTCTTTGATCTTTCTTCTTAAAACAAAAAAAAAAAAGGAAAAATCATTAATGTGATGAAGGGGGAAAGGGAAAATTGTAGAGTAAGCAAAACATAATTAGTGATAATTCAAAGTATTTGACAAAAGAACATTAATTCAGTTGTCAAACTATTTAACCTAATCTAAATCACTTGCTAAAAAATAACATGTGTTAAAGAAGTGTGTTTTTGTTTTCATTTTAATTTTTCAATTTCATCCTTCCAATTGCTTTGCTTGTGTTCCAAGAAAGACATTTACATCATCTGCCACTCTCATTCATATAGGCTTACTATCCTGAGCGTTTAGAAAAGATATACATGTTATTCATGCCCCGATTCTTTCAAAGTGTTTGGAAGATGGTTTGCCACTACCTTGACAAGGGAATAAGAGAAAAGGTATGGATTTTATTTATTTTTAGTTCATTGGACCTCCCGATATTCATGAGATGTAATTCAATCTTTTTTTTCTTAAGAGTGTGTGTGTGTGTTACTATTTTTTTAATTGCAGAATTGTTTTCAATGCTATACTCCAATGTCATCTTTTCCCCTTGGGCTAGTATTTATTTGTGTTTTAAGACTTGGCTTAATTTGGTAGGTCAACCCGAGAACTCGAGTCTAACTTGGATTGAATTAGTGAAAAAAACTTATTTTTTATTATTATTATTAAAACAGCATCATTTCAAAAGTTTTTTTAGAAGTGTTCATGAATATAGTTGGCACAAGTTTTTGTCTATAATTATATATAACCCAACTTATGATATTTCATAAATCGTAAATCTAACACATTTAATTTTTTTAAACCTGAACAAATTAAATTTACGAGGTTGGACTAAAATTTTTTATAGATATTATTGACTTTTATAGGTTGGATTTATATTGCTAATTTCTATGAGTTCGGGTTTAATTACAACTAATATTTAAGCTCAATAAATTAGTTGAAACATGCTATAAGTTGTAATAAATAATTTAGACTCAATAAATCAATTGAATCAATTGACTACAAATAAAGAATATATAATAATAAATTAAGTTTATTGTTATAGGATTTACTGGTTGGGTTTGGATTTCAAAAATCTCGATTCACTTTTCAACTTGTGATATCTATTTATTAAGTTTTTTAATTTATTCTCTTTTGTAATATTTACATTATTTAACTTTGACTTGTAATATCAGGTAAAATAATATAGATTTTAAATGGCAATCTATATTTCAATAAATCAAATAATAGGAAATAAACAAAGTTTCTTTTGGAAGTCCCTAGTTAATTAATGACAGGAGACAAAGTTTCTCTTGGAAGAATTCCCTAATTAATTTCACTTTGAAGAAACGAAGATCATCAACTCATGTTATAATGTTCATCCCAATCAAATCTTATAACATGCAAAAGCCTGTTAAATTTTTATAAGCAGAGATCGTTTTCCTTATTATATTAACTTTGGCTACCTTAATTTGTGACGAGAAACTGCAGACTGAGATAGTGAAGAATGATGAAAAAGCAAGAGTCGAGTTCGTAAAAAAAATTGGTGAGGAGGTCTTACCCAAAGAGCTTGGTGGTCGAGCACAGCTTGTAGCTCTGCAAGATGTTACAGTGCCTCAGTTGAACTGAAATAATGATATAGAGATCAGAAGAGCTATAATCAAGTTTTTCTTTTTTTGGATCTTCCTGTTGTGGGAGTATTAATTAGCTCTTTTTGTTGACAATTATAGCATTATAATTAAAGATTTGTCAAGCTTTACTCTGCTGAAGTTTCATGCTTTGGCTATGAATAATGCATTTTTGAGACTTATCATTTGCACACATGACAAGTTTTTTACATGGACTCGTATTTAAAAACTTGATTATTAGATTTTTTATTTTATTTTATTTTCTATGGATAAGATAGAGAAGTTTTTTATTTAATATATAAACTTATCCTAATTCAAAACCATGTCCAGCTTGTTTGACATTATCAAAGAAAACCACTAAAATTGTTTCTATTAGGTAGTGGTAGATTTATAGTCATCTATTAGCTATTTGATTCGTGATTTGGCTAGGTCGGATATTTATTTTAATAAAAAAATAAATATATAAATTTTTTCAACTTTTTTTTTTATATAAAAACTCTTAAAGTGTAAATAAAAAAATTTATGTAGATTGAGAACTAGCTATATCAATAAATGAAAAAAAAATCATTAGTGATAACTAAAAATTTAACTAGAAAAATCAAGAAATAAATATAAATCAAGATATTATGTTCAATAACTCTTTTTTATTAAAATTATATTTTTATTTAATTAAATGATAGTAGAAATAGACATTCATATGAAATTGATCGAATAAAATCAAAGAAAAAAAATATTATGCAAGATTGCACTTATTAGAAATACTATATAAAAATAAATATTTTATATTTTAAAAACTGAATTTTATCATATAAAATACATAAAAAAAATTATAGATGGATTATAATAATCTTTTCAAAAATTAAATACATTCAAAATAATTATAAAAAAAAAAACAACCCCTTTTAAAAAGGTAAAATAAAAAAATAAAAAATCAAAGAGAAGGGCTATTAATTTAAATATATATTAAAAAACTAATATAAAAAATATATATTAAAAAACATAAATATTAAAAAAACAAAAAAAATTCAAGTTTGCGTGGCTAACCTAATTGGAAAGGGCTTGCATACATGGGCTCTTACTTTTTAGAAAAATACCAAGGAAGTGGATGACATGTTGTTAGCAAAAACAAAAAAAACAAAAAAAAATAGACAAAGTGTTATTTGTTTTTTTTAGATTACGGTTATTATGGTGACAAAAAATTAGAATTTGTGATTTTTTGATTTATAATCTCATTTTCAACTTATTTTTTCATCCAAAACAAATAAAAAGAGCTTAAATACGGTGATAAATTCATCAATAGCCTTAAACATCCTAAAACACCATGTAGAAACCTAAAATCAACCTTAAATCAAAATTCTTCTCGAGTCTAGATCTAGTTCCTTAAGAATTTTAAGGTAAAAAAACATTTAAGAAGAATACATAGATCTCATTAACACCAAGATCGATCAATTTGATCACTAGAATTGATGTCAATATCTATTATTTTTCTTTATTGCTAGAATTTGTTAATTTTTTCTTTTCTCTCAAATCAAAAATTTAAAAACAAAATTTTGGACTAAAATTAATATTTTTCAAAAAAAATAAATTGGAGGGATATAATTTTTATAATTAGAAACGTACGAGGATTACAATGAACATTTCTTCCAAAGTTTAAAAAACCCGTTTATTTCTTTTATTTTTTTCACTTTAATCTCATGTCTTTTAATTCCATCATCTCATAACAAATTAATTTACAATTTTATCCTATAAAGGCTAGCTAAATAAAAAAAAAAGATATTGATAAGAAAAAAACATGTAAAACATTAAGTCCAAGATGTTTCGTGAGGGAATTCACAATGCAATCATGCATAGTAAATCACCCAAGCCTTTTAATTTCCCCAATAACTACCCATAGAGCAAGTTATGATGCCTATATAAGATGTCATCATTAAGCATTTTACAGTTGATCATGCTATGACCAACCTTAAAACCTAATCTTATATAATAAAATTGACTTTTAAATTGATTTGCCAGTTAAGAAATGAGTAGGTTTAAATATTTATTAGTGCTGTAATTCGCATCTTTATGGGTTAATATTTAATAAAAAGAAAAGATCCCAACATAAAAGAATGCGTTTTTGGATATCATAATTTTTAAAAAAAATAGGAAACAAAAAAACTATTATTTACACTTAATAAAATGAATTAAAAAATGTATATGAATTGATAAACAAATATAGTAAAAGGATTGATTACTATTTAAAAAACAGAGTAAATTCAATTATTTTAAAACATAAGATAGTGGACATAAATCAATATTTAAATAAAAACAAATGATGAAAAGAGATAACTGATTAAAAAAAAAAAAAAACAAAGAGAGTGATTAAGTGTTAATAAGTCAGTCCCACGTGTTTAGCTTTAATTAAAAATAAAAAAACCACGATTGCATTTTGTCTTGGAATTCTACGCTTAAAATTGATATTAAAATTAATTTTTTTAGTTGGTAAAATATGATTCACTGATGATTTTTTTTTATTATTAGTTTTTAAAAACTTTCCCTCTCTTCTCCCCATTCAAGAACTAAAAAATAAATAAAATAATTTTTTTTAACAAAAATATAGAAATTTTTAGTATATTTAAAGTATAATTGTGACTATTTTTTAAAATATTTTTTATTAATAAATAAATTAAAATTATTTTTTATTTTAAAAAAATTATTATTAGTTTTTAAAAACTTTCCCTCTCTACTCAAGAACTAAAAAATAAATAAAATAATTTATTTAACAAAAATATAGAAATTTTTAGTATATTTAAAGTATAATTGTGACTATTTTTTAAAATATTTTTTATTAATAAATAAATTAAAATTATTTTTTATTTTAAAAAAAAATATTTTTGATATTAGTACATTAAAATAATATAAAAAAATAAAAAATATTAATTTAAAATAAAAAAAATAAAAAATTTAATTTTTTTTTTAAAAAAATCATGCCTGAAAAAAAAGAGAAAAATTTAATTTTTTTTTAAATTTTTTTAAAATAAAAAATCATGCCTAAAAAAAAGAGGATTTAAAAGTCTATTTGTGTGAATTTTATACTTGCCATGAAAAAACAAATTTGCACCCTTCGCTGCCAAACATACACGAAACGATCGGTTTTGTTACCATTTTTTAATATTATCCTCAAATAAAAAATGGCCGCCACAATCATGATTGGATTCCCAGCCGGACTCACCCTAGAACAGCTTAGCCAGCAGGCATGAATGGATTTCTGCACCCACTTTGTTCTTTATGGCAAGCTGGCCCGGCTCAGGTTTATGATAGGCCTAGAAATTATATGACCCAGGATCGGACCTCCTAAGCTTCCAGCCCGGCTTTCCGGTTCATGCAGCACAAATTATCGAAGAATTTACTACTGCATCAAGATATCTGTATGCATTTTATTGCTACAAAGAAAGGGTTCGAACTCCTCGAGTGTAAAATATTTATTTGGAATAACAAAAATATTGAGAAACATTAACATTTACTGCATGTTTTAAGGGTATTCAAGATTGTGTGCATATCATTTAAATAGGGCCCATTTAAAAGCTTTGGATCGGCCCATTTAATTATCCATTGCCCATTGAAGATCCTCGGGAATTTTTGTAACTGTTACTTTAATGATGGGGCTGTTATGGTTGAAGGAGCTGGAGCTCTATTGCCTTTCCAATTTCCTGCCAAGAAAATTTGGAAAGTTTGGAGAGCTGGTGGCAACAGCATGCTGCCCAAATGTGCAGGCATGGCAGCTTAAGACGTTATTAGCAAGAAGCTCGAAAGTTTGAGATGAACACCCTGCAGCCATTTCCAGGGCACCAAAACGTTGTTGTGGGCGGCTTGAAAAGCTGAAATGCTCTGCGATCTGGCCCCGAAATGTCTTCTTAAGAGATGCTGTGAGGGCCTTTCCGATCCCCAGCAGTTTCATTGCATCTCAAGCTTTCAATTCCAATACGTTAGCAAAGGGACCAGCCTCAAAGTTAGCCACTCAATTCTTGCCCAGATTAGTCATGGGTTGGATATTATATAAAAGACATTTTGCAGGAAATACTTGAAAGCCACCTTGTAGGGTCAAAGTTCCAAGCGTTCCTTTCAGAAGGCGTGACAATGGCAGGAACACTTGATTTCCACACTGGGCCAATCTTCAGTCGCCATGGACATTTCCCTGTGAGAACATGCTCGTGTAGCATGACGATTTTTCGCAACTCAACTGGCATTGCGTGGATTGTAAGCTAATAGCTATGTGCCTATGTCTCCGTCACTGACCAGGTCAAACTGGAATTTGAAGTGACTGAACACAGATTCCGACATTGTAATGCCACCGTCATGCAAGAATACAACAATTACCACGATCACCGGCACTCGAACGTCGAGGGCAAAAGATATTGTTAGATTTGAAATTGCTGGCATTGATGTTAATAGATTAGTTTCTTTATATGATTTTTTTTTGTTAATTTTATTATAAAAATTTAAGTTATTTAGTGAGATTTTAGTATATAATTTATATTATTCTTTAAAATATTGATTTGAGTTAAAAAAATTTAACTTTAAATTTATACATAATTATATTATTTTGTACTATTAATTAATTTTAATTATTAAAAAATAAAAATAGTAAAATTTGAAGTAGCAACTTTTTTATTATTAAGACATAAATATCATGTTAGCTAATTAATTATCTCAATCTAAAAATCAAGGAGCTTAATATTTGCATTTCAATTTGCTTCTTTTTATTTTATTTTAAATAATTCTTTTCATTTTAAATAAATTAATGAGATTTTATCCTATAATGTCATTACTATTTGATTTTGTTGGGAGATTGCAAGTAAACTTGAATGCTTGGATAGTTTTGACTTTATTTTTTTAATTTGTTTATTTTTTTTTCAAGTTTTGTTTTTAGAGTTGCTGTCTTTTGATTTTTATTTTTTTGCTCAAGTTTATGCAAGATTTAAATATGAGAGAATTTGATACACTCGTAAGGATATATATTCTTTGGAATCCATCTAGAAAAAAAATTATAATAGGATTAAGATTGATTAATACAAATATATTAGACAATATCTCAAGCTACAAATATAATTACAGATATAATTTTATTAAGTTAAGTTGAAAATAAAAAATATAAAACTAAATATCTAAATCTCATTCGATATCAAATGATGCTTGAATTGTA